CTGCTCCGGGAGCTGCTCTGCTGTCCTCGGAGGGACCAGCTTGCTTGTGCGACGCGCAGGGTTCAGGCGCTGCGCACGTGTTCTCTGGGCCCCGAGGAAGAGATGTGGGGTGATGGCCCAGGAGCTCAGATCACACACAGTGTTTCAGTTCTGTGCCTTTTTTTCCCCCCCCTTGCGTAGATTGACCTTGTGCAAATTAAAGAGATGTTCGCGCAGATGTATCAGAAGACTCTGGCTGCAATGATAGCAAGTGACACAAGCGGTGACTACCGGCGTTTGCTGCTGGCAATTGTTGGTCAGTAGAAGAGGATTATCTGTTTTTTTAAAACAAACTGAAGGACATGTAACATGCTTCACGCAGACACTGACGATCCTCGTGTGTACAAGAATAATTTTAAACCTTTGTATAATCAAATACGCCTTCCTGATGATCCAATAAGCTTGTTGCACTTACAACCGCCTTAATTTACAGCACATAATCTTCTTTATTGTATAATAAAAGATGTATCTTGTCTATTGGCCCCTCAGCCTGAGTCCTTTTGACCCAGACAAAGCCACTGCCCCTCTGCCATGCTCCCACATGATAGAACTGTGTGTCCCAGCCCAATGTCCAGCACACAGCAAGTTTCTGGGAATACCTAAACCTAACAGCTGCGCTAGCTGGGTGACGCAGAAAGCCCGGGGCTGTGATGTACTGCATTGTACACCTGACCCCACGCACCCCCTTCAACGGCTTTCCATCGGAACGCTGAAAAACCGGCAAGGGCTCAGGTTAAGTCACACTGCTCTGACAGCTGAAGGACCTTGGCAGAATCTGACTGTGCCTCCCTATTTAATTTCTTAAATTAGGTAACACTAGTAGTTATTTAGTTAGCACTCATAGGCAGCGATGGAAAGGAGAAATCATCTTGGAACTGATTCTGAAGTGTCTGCTGGTAAAGGAGCGGGTTCTACCCAAACGGCTGAGCAATGACAGAAGCCAAAGTGTGAACGCTGCCGAACACATGTAAATCCAGCCCGAAGGCGACTGCGCCGCAGGCAGCATAACTGTGCGGATGTTTTCAAAAGCTTGGCGAAGAACAGCTCTGTGTGGCGCATTCGGTGTGCCGAAAGCCACAGGGATCCATCCCCAGCAACAAATGCAACAGAAGCTTTGCGCCCCGCAGCCAGAATCGCGTCCCCTCGCACGTCTCAGCAACGCTGTGACAGGTAACGACTGTACTACAGGACAGCCCACGCCAACAGCAAACCCTGACTTCTGCCACCCCTCAAACAGCGACAGCCGGGGCTGGCAGAGCCGAGTCGGAAGCCGCAAGCCGTTCGCTCGTACACAGCATGTACACAAACACTAACAGACACCAAGTTTGCCATACCAAAAAAAGCTTCGGGATTTCGCTTACATCAGTGTTCTGCAGCCTAACTTTAAGTGTTTTCCGATACTAAACTTGGAAATACAGTTTAAATTCCTGGGTTGGATTAAAATTAATCATTTCAGAGAGGAGCAACAGATGGAATTCGATTTAAAAGACACTCCGCTGTGCAGTGCTTTGGTGTGAGCATCCACTGGTGATACAGCTGTCAGCAGCTTTCCAGGCTTGGCCAAGACTCTCACGAGCTTTGGTTCTTGTTTCTTTCCTCTCAAGCAAACTTCCTTGCAAGTGAAGCAGCTCAGCATTTAATAATTAAAGCATATTAGCACATCCATCTCTTTATATGAGACTAAAAAAATCCCCACCACTTCACTCGTCATCTAAAGCAGAGTGTCGGTTAAGCCTGGCTCATGCGTACTCCTGCTACGAGCAAATCAACAGGGTTCTGCGTCCCAGTGACCTTCACCTATGCTATGGCAAAAAGCTATTTTTGGTACATGCCAGTAATGAGGAAGTGTTGAACGGGTAACGGGGACTGGACGATGGATAGTGAAACTGCAGCCAAAGCTAGGCCAGGAGAGGATGGGCAGACACCGCCTCTCCTGTCTCTGAAGAAGCCTTATTTTAATACGTAACTAACAAACACAATGGCGTTTCAAGGTTAAACATTAGGAAGAAAGCCGCTTACGAGCCTATTCCCCTCACAAAGCGTTTGGACTCCAACCAGAAGAGGCCGACCCCCTGGGAGCGAACCAGCCCCAGGGCCAAGCACTTGCCAGAGGCCGAGCTCCACAGCTCGGCAGACGGGACGACAGCCATTTTTCCAGTTCACAACAGGAATTCAATAAGCTTTGAAAGGAAAGCTGTTGTTGAACACCACAGATCACGCGGGCGGAAACCCCCCTCAAGCACCTCCTGGACCTTTGCTGCTCGGTGTAACTGAAACGCGTCTCCTCCCAGCGCCGTCCGAGCCCCTGGCCTGGCCCAGGCACCGCGGCGGGGTCCGGACGAAGCAGCCCCTTCCCCGGGAGCCCAGGGCACAGCAAAGCTCCAACTCCAGCCAGAACAAGCCGTGCCCCTCGCAGCGTCCGTCGCCCCAGCCTGTGGCTTACAGAGCTGCTTCCACCCGCTCTCCCTCCCTACCCCAGGGCAGACCAAGGACACAGACTTCTTTCCCCCCCGCGCTCCTTAAAACACTGAAAGCAAAAAAGAGCAATGTGAATTACTTACGGTTTTCCGGGAGGGAGGATATAATTTCTTCTCCCCGGCAATGCAAGGATGAGAGACAGCTCCAGATGCCACCTTTCAGAAACACAGTGGCACAAAGTAAGCACCTGCTTCCCAAAGACAGACAACCCCCAAACGCATTCCTGTTACCCGACTGCCTGCTTCACCGGGACAGGAGACACATGGCATGAGAAAATAGAAATTCTTCGCTGCAGGTCGGCCTTCGTATCTGGCAGACGCTACTGCAGACGGCGGACACCGGAAGGGACTCCAGGGCGCGAGAACCGCTGCCGCCCGACGCCTGCGCACACCAAGTGCCAGAACCAGTTCCCTCCAGTTACGAGGAGGTCCTTCCAAAGATGGAACCTGTGTTCTCCCCACATACGCAACTCCAGGTGGTCACACCACCCATCCCAGCCAATGACCCGAGTATCAAAACGTGCAAAATGCTGTCCTGCGAGGCCGAGAAATTCCCCGCCAGCGCTTCCGAGGACGCAGGGACCGTCGCGGAGCACAGCGCGTACAGCTTCGGTTCAGTGACGCGGCTTGGTTCTGCTCTCACACGACATCACACGCGGACGGCACAGCTCCCAGGCACCCCCAGACTTACCTGCTCTTAACTTCATCTTCTGCACTCAAACTCCAAGGAGGGTTTCCAGTTAGAATGCATCTGCAATAAAGTAAAATCACACATTAAAACTCCATTAGCAAATTTACTATTTTTATCTTAGTTCTTAGCCTGTTTGGCAGCTTGTCCTTGCTTTAAGAAGAACAAACGGGGAAGGCCGAAGCTGGTTGCTCCGCCGGCTTTCCACCTGGCCTGTGCTGCCCCTCTGCCCCGGAGCCGCCCCAGCGCGCCGGCGTCTCCAACGCGTTGCTCAAACCGACACCCAGTGCAGTGACACACGACAGCCGTCAGCGTCCACTACCCCTGCGCCCCGGCACACGCAGACGAGGCTCCAGTGGCCACCCAGGCCCAGGGACAGACAACGCCGAGGCGTTTTACTTACGCGGGAGAACTCGGAAGAAAAGAAAGCGGCAGCAGTAATGGTTAAACAGCATTTACATTAAACTGGCTCTCTGCAAGGTAAATCTGAGCTTTGAGGCTATTTTTTTTTTTCCAATAGCTTAAATTTTGGGAGAGTATTTCTAAGCAATTCTCAAGGTCAGATCAGACCTACGTATGCCAAATAAAACCCGTACACAATGATAGGAGCCGCAGCCCATGCACAAAATTTATTGTGTGCTACCGTTTATAAAATACTTGAATAGTTCAGAACATGCATAAAATTTCCGACTTCGGGGTATGTACAGATTGTACTTTATGGCAAACCAAAAAAAAGGGGGCGGGGGAAGACTGAGCTCTAGTGACACAAGTTTCAAGTTGTGTTCCAGGGGATGAGGAGGACACGGAGCAGATGTCAAAACATGTCACGAAGCAGAGTGGCAGCCGGCACAGTCTGTTAGTCGCGAACAGATTCACCAGGGCTTCGGGTTGTGTCGTCGCCCGGCGGTGAGCCGGATACAGGCGGTCCGACGCGCACACTGTCACCAACGCCGCGGCCGCGGCACCCCGCGCTGCCTTACGCGCTGCTGTGCCTGAACAGAAGGTACGTCCCGTACGGTCTCCGTTTCCTTGACAGGCTTGTGAAGAGTAAGAAGCTCGCAGCTGTTCAGCCCGGGGATTGTCAGCTAGTTACGCAACCGCAACACTCACAATAAACTAAGAGTACCCATAACACCTAGGGAACCTATCGATGTACATCATAGGTCTATATATTAAATATCTGCAAAATGAAAACATGCATGCACAAAATACAATGCCAAGCTTTACAGACTTGATATGAATCAAAATTTACTTAAACAATGTACAAAGTTCAATTAAAAGTACCTTAAAATTAACTTTCATATTTTTCTTACTTTTTAAAATTAGTATATATATAATAACTTTTTTTTAAAATTCGAGGTGGGGAAGAGTCTTGAAAAAGCCAGGCAAAAAAAGTTTCTAAATTAAATATTTTTTCGTTTTTTAAATCTGTGTTCAAGTAATAAACATTCCTACATAGAAATCTTCTGGTAAGCGGTAACTAAAAAATTGAGTGAATACAATATCGACTCAACAACATCTACGGAGTAAACCTGAGGTCTGCACTTTGCAGAACG